TTATAATTGTGGTGATTCTTCACACTTTGTTAGATATTGCCCTAAGAAACATAATAACAATAATAATAACAGGAATAATAGTAATGCTGCAAGTGAGTTAGCCAATATGACTGTTATTGACAATGATTTCGGAAATGTGTTTGTTGTTTGTCCAGATTTAAATTCAAATATTTTGAGTGCTAATGAATGGATAGTTGATTCTGCTTGCACATTTCATATGACACCTTTGAAAAATATTTTTTCTGAGTTTAAGACTTTAACACATTGATATGTGACTATGGCTGATAAACGTGTGTGTAAAGTTGAGGGAATTGGTGTTATTAATCTGAAATTTAAATCTGGAAATATACTGAAATTGCATGATGTGAGATATGTGCCTGATTTGTCCAATAATCTGTTGTCATGTGTTAGATTATCTACTTTAGGTTTAGAAGGAAAGTGGGGTTTAAATTGCATGAAAATAACAAAAGGGTCTTTAGTGATTTTTAGGGCAGAATTAAAAAATGACTTATATGTAACTTCTGTTGTGAATGTATGTTCTGATATAGATAATTCTGAAATTGATAATTCTGAATTATGACATAAGAGATTAGGTCATATTAGCAATAATGGCTTGAAAATTCTGCATGAATCTGATTATTTGGAAAATGAAAAATTTTATATTATTCCTTTTTGTAATATATGCAAACTTGGAAAATTAAGAAAAGTTCAATTTTCGTCAAATACCCCTGAAAATTATATTTTTTTAAAACAGATTTTGGAATGTATGCATATTGATTTATGTGAACCTTCTAATGAACCCATTTATGGTGAGAGTAGATATATCTTAACTGTTGTTGACGATTTTTCTAGAAAAAATTGGATTTTCTTATTGAAAAATAAACTGGATTTGTTTAAAAGTTTCAAGAATTGGAAAATTCAAATTGAAGTTGAAACTGGCAGAAAAATTACCTACAAAACTCAAATGCTTAAGGGGCCGAACACCCTTCAGCCCCCTTCCCCCTACTAGCTCCGCCCATGCCCAAAGCCAACATATGTTCACTCTAATTAATGAAGAAATATGCTCGCCACCCTTAGTAGTTTATACACAATCCTACTTTATACTCTTCTTCTTGAGCGTCTGAGGACTCGAATCTACTACATTAATCAGAATTGGAAACCATAATCACAAAACAAGGGCAATTGTGCAGCAGCAAGAGACTAGATAAGAGCATTTGAAGAAGAAAGATGGTAGGGCATTTAATCAGTGTGTCAATCTTATTATTCTATTATCTAGGAAAACTGCACTGTCAATCTCAGTGTTTTTAGCAGGTACTCTTGCCATGCGGAAGTAACATACCTTTTGGTGGGTCCTTTCTTTGTTTGGGAACTAAGATTTGATGCATATGATTTCTTTTGGGTATCCTCTTGAGATGTCGTGGTGGCTGATTCTTTTTCTGCTGCTGCGCCATGGTTTTTAGTTAAATGAGGTTCTGCCTCCACCACTATGTCCCTATCATTTGTCACTTTGTTATCTCTTTCTTCTCAGTATTCACAGTTTTCTCCACTCGAAGAGTTGCAAATTAAAGTCAGGTTGGGGAGGATCAACCACCTCAGCAGGCTATGAAGGCAAAATAAAGATTATGAATAAGTCTCATCAGCCACATAAGCTGTTAAGAAAATAAACAAATTCAACCTTCATCTTATGCCATTGTGCTTGATTAACACACACAAAAGTAAATAAAAAATTTAGGATGTTTCATTTGCACGGAAAGCGAATATATCATTTTTCTCATGGGAATATCTTTAAAGTTAGAAACCATTCAAATATGTCATTAATAGCAAATTACCTTTAACTTGCATGTGTCAATCAATCCAAAAATCAATATATATGCCCACCACCATCTTCCCACCATGCATCCACACTTGCTCCTATGTCAAGTCTCAGGTCCGACTTATCCCTACAGTTGGCAAAGGTATCCTGGCTAATGGTGGAGTTTGATAAACATGAGATCCATTGAGTACTGTACAATTGATAGATACATTATAGTTTTTCTTCACAGTAAGGTTACTTGCTTTTTAAATCCTTAATCAATTTTACAAAACATACCTCAGAGTAGTCTTTAATTTATCACCGGCGAAACCTACATTTATCTCGCCACCATTGCATCCATCTTCTAGCAATTGATTCCCAATCCTCAACCAGATCTCAGCACCATCGTTTTGTTCTGGATTATGGTGCCAGGATCTCATAGTTCCTTTCTCATCCTATCTCTTCAATTGAAGCAAACAAACAAAAAATCATACAAGCAAATCAAAATGAGAACACTCAAAATCACCTGATGTTGTCAAAAAAAATCTTGGGTGAAGTTGCTCACATAACTATCACAAAGGGGTTTTGTTTAAGGCTTGAGATGCAGTTTATAATTACAAGTTGCTTACAAATAAGTACATTATACACTTAGATAAACTAAACGCCACACGACTGATTAAGGTAAAGTAAAGAATGCAGCTACCGAAATAAACTAGATTATAGCAAAGAGGAGTCAGAGATTAAGCTATGGTTCATAAATGGATTTTTTAAGCTAACTAACATAAAAATCCACAAGTAGTTAACTACACCCGAATTTAAACCTTAGAAAAAGCTCTTATCACATAATAAATCCCAATTTGAACAAGTACAATAGCCCCGCCGCGGGATAAAGTATACAATAACCCTAATATCAAAATAGAGGATTTTTATGGTATTAAGCAGATGTTCTAGAAGGGTTACATATGTAACACACCCAATTGGCTCATACTGGAAATGCTACCGCCACACTGCATCATGAGGTCGTCACCTCCTACTTCGGGCCCCACAATACAGTGTTAAGGCTAAAATTACCATAAAAGCGCATTATTATATAACAGAATCTGATTTATAAATATTTACAAAACACACCCCATAACAAGAGGTTTTTCCGGTTAAAAATTTATATATAATACAATAGACGTAAGTTCACTCACTCAGCCCATCTTTCTATATCCTGAGACGTCCCCTGTCTCGGATGTGCCATGCATACCTAAAACAAATATTTTCTTAAAAGCAGTCTAGAATTAAATCCATTTTAAGAACTAACGTGAAATATGTCATTTCATACCTTTTTTTAAAATAAAGTCTAATTCCCGTTAATCATAAAATACGTGTCATGTCATGCCAATACTGAAATGATGCAATGCAGATATCAAACTCGACAACAATGCACATCCACATATATATATCCGCCAAAGGGAGCAGCCGGAATAACCTCGGCTCCATAATCATAGGCTCACTACATCTGTCTAAGTGAGCAGCCGGAATACCCTCGACCCCGTAATAACAAGCTCACTAGACCATCAACAATAAATAGCCGGAAAATCCTCTGCTCAAGGAAGGACCTGATAAACCCATAATAATATAACGGTCATCCGGTCACTTCCATATACCCACTATACCACTCCCACAGTCAATACGTGGATAGCTGAACGTTGTCACCATTAACCACAAGACGCCCCATAGTCTGTGATAGCGAAGATAGGACCTCCGATGACTAGCCCTATCCCGTGTAATGTAGTAGAATCCGTGCAACCTGGAATCACCCAACGGAAATCTGGAAATTCTCTTCCTCCTCGCGCGCCCTAACGGGATCATGCTCTGCAACCCTTAGTTGATAATATCCAGACCTCAAGTCAATCTTGGAGAATACACTTGCACCTCTCAGTTGATCAAATAGATCATCAATTCTTGGAAGAGGATATTTGTTCTTTACCGTTACTTTATTAAGCCCCCGGTAGTCAATACACAACCTCAAGCTTCCATCTTTATTTTTCACAAATAAAACTGGAGCACCCCAAGGCGATGTACTAGGACGAATGTAACCTTTATCCAATAATTCCTGTAGTTGTAATTTAAGTTCAGCGAGTTCTAACGGTGCCATGCGATACGGGGCTCTCGATACTGGCTCGGCGCCTGACATAATATCAATAGTAAAATCCACCTCACGAGCTGGTGGCATACCAGGAATATCATCAGGAAATACATCAGGAAAATCTCGAACCACAGGAATATTTTGTAATCGTTGCTCCCCTTGCTTCAAATCTCTTACCTCACACAGATACACTGGATACCCCTTACGAATAAGTTATTGAAATGATAGGGATGAAATTACCTTCATAGAAGGTTGTCTTGCAAATCCTGCATAGCTCACTTTTTCACCCATCGCTCCAACCAACGAAATTGATCTTTTTCGACAATCAAATTGAGCTTGATATGCCATTAACCAATCCATCCCCGGTATCACATCGAACTCGGATAAACTTCATACTCAACAAGTTAGTAGCAAAATCAACTCCCCCAATACTAACTGGAATTTGCATATAGAGTTCTCGGCACTTCAGTACTTCTCCTGATGGAAGTAAAACTTCCACTACCACTTCTACCGATGAATTCAGACCCAATCTTTTAACCAAACGTTTAGATATGAACGAGAACGTTGCACCCGAATCAAATAACACAAGAGCTGACAAACCGCAAACAAGAAATCTACCCGTTAAAACCTCACCTGGGTGATGATCAACCTCTGTTTGGGTAACCACATTTATTCTGCCACGCTGGTCAGGTCCTCTGCCTAGCTGCCTAGATGATGGACGTGACTGGCTTCGACCACCTCGCCATGATGGTCCTAATCCTCTCCCCTGTGACTGTGAAGATGTTGCCATGGCCTAAATCTCGGTTTTGGAAACTCCCTTGCGGTTACCACACTTGGGCATAGCCTGGCAATATGACCACTACCACCACACTTAAAACATGTTAATGGAACTTTATCACAACGGGTACCTGAATGACTTGTTCCACAACGTCGACAAACAACCCTCGACTGTTGAAACCTCTCTTGACTCGGTTCTTTAATCGAAATCCTTTTATACGATGGCCCCGACCTGAATATTTGCCACAATTTATTTTTACCCTTTGGTTCATCATCTACCTTAGCTTTTCCTTTATCTCAAAACTGATGTTGATACCCCATTTCTTTATCACTGCCCTTCTGCCTGATTTCTTGCTTCTGATAGAATCGAGCACCATGCTCGTAAGCCTCATACAACGAACTGATATCCAACACAGCTAAAGCTTCTTGAATCCTCTGCTGCAACCCATCTACAAAATGATCAACTCTATCTCGCTCACAGGAAAAGTAGTCAGGAACATACATCTCCAACTCATTGAACTTTACAAAATAGTCCTCGACTGACATCGAACCCTGCTTCAAGTCCAGTAACTCTTGCTTCTTTGCTTTTCGAACATGAGACGGTATAAAACTAGCTTTTAATTTTGCTTTAAACTCATCCCAAGTCATATCCACTTGGTCCACTCCCGCAGCTTCCTCACCTAACCACCACCGATTTGCTCGACCTTCCAAGAAATAAGCCCCGATATTGGCTCGTTGATCTGGTGGAACCTGAACAACACGAAATATCTTTTCTATCTTTTCAACCCAGAACTCAAGAACTCCAGGCTCTACGGAACCAGAATATGTTGGCGGGTTATGCCGCATCACAGCATCAATAAAACTCCTCTGTTGAGGCATCATCGCAGTTTATGGCTGTTGGAAGAAATCTGGACTAGGTGCCTCTATTTATACATACTCTAGCACAAAATATTATGACTCATCAAATGCAGGATCTAGCTCTGGGCCTCAAATAGCCCTACGTAAACCATCACCTCGAGAATTTGACATACTGCCCCCCGACTTCCCTGATTCAATATCAACTCAGCAACACAACTAAACCAGATATAACATTAAAGCATAAGCCACATTAACATGAATGCACCCACAAAACCCAAATCTCGCCAAACAAATTCAATATCATCATTATTTTCAAAACCTTTTTAATCCAAAGAGCCAAAATCTACCAAACCTACGCTCTGATACCAACTTGTAACACCCCTAGTTGGCTCATACTGGAAATGCTACCGCCACACTGCATCATGAGGTCGTCACCTCCTACTTCGGGCCCCACAATACAGTGTTAAGGCTAAAATTACCATAAAAGCGCATTATTATATAACAGAATCTGATTTATAAATATTTACAAAACACACCCTATAACAAGAGGTTTTTCCGGTTAAAAATTTATATATAATACAATAGACGTAAGTTCACTCACCGAGCCCATCTTTCTATATCCTGAGACGTCCCCTGTCTCGGATGTTCCATGCATACCTGAAACAAATATTTTCTTAAAAGCAATCTAGAATTAAATCCATTTTAAGAACAAACGTGAAATATGTCATTTCATACCTTTTTTAAAATAAAGTCTAATTCCCGTTAATCATAAAATACGTGTCATGTCATGCCAATACTGAAATGATGCAATGCAGATATCAAACTCGACAACAATGCACATCCACATATATATATCCGCCAAAGTGAGCAGCCGGAATAACCTCGGCTCCATAATCATAGGCTCACTACATCTGTCTAAGTGAGCAGCCGGAATACCCTCGACCCCGTAATAACAAGCTCACTAGACCATCATCAATAAATAGTCGGAAAATCCTCGGCTCAAAGAAGGACCTGATAAAACCATAATAATATAACGGTCATCCGGTCACTTCCATATACCCACCATACCACTCCCACAATCAATACATGGATAGCCGAACGTTGTCACCATTAACCACAAGACGCCCCATAGTCGGTGATAGCGAAGATAGGACCCCCGCTGACTAGCCCTATCCCATGTAATGTAGTAGAATCCGTGCAACCTGGAATCACCCAAGGGAAACCCGGAAACTCTACTCCTCCTCGTGCGCCCTAACGGGATCACGTTTGGAGTTTGGCATATGATCCTACACTACCGGTAGACCTCACTAGTAGCTACTCCAATGAGTGGAACAACACCGAACACGAATGATTAGACCAAAATACGTCTAAACTACTATGGGTCTAATCCCTGAATGACCGTGCGACTAAGTCACCCAGTTGTCCGACTACTATCGTCCACTATCGCCAAAGTGTTACGGTACATCGGGGTCGAATATCCTAACCCCAGATGATGCCCTCGCCTAGCACCACCGCACATGGCGACTAGACGATAGATCCATAAATCATATCCGATAAACCGTGCAATATGTGTGCAACATGCCAAATAAGTGAATTTGCCGAAAAGGGTTGGTGAGACAGCTCACCTATCCTCCTTTTCATAAATTCACCAATGCGATCAAATACGTATTTCAAATATCATAAACCGTGAAGTCTCCCACATGCATACGCACACATATATATAAATATATACATGCAACAAAATGATTCACATAATATCACATTAACATATTAATCAAAATCGCATGCAACATGCATACCTAATTTCTTAAAATTAGATTTAATTCCCTACTGCTTACCTCTTGTCGACACTCCCTAGCTTTCGCAATTTCACCCAAATCTCTTCCAACGTACACCTGTTCCATTATTTACTCAATTCAGCTGAGCTATTTGCTTATTCATAGGAGCTACCTGCTTATTCAAAAGCTAATTTCTATAATCAACTCGTTGGGTTTCAAAATTTTATATTTAGTAGAATACAATATTATAGCTATAAAACTCTTATACCTCCTACTATTTATATCGCCCGATTATTAAATAAAAATACTTAAAGATATGAATAAACAAGCAGGTGCAATACACTGCCGTTTTCAATTCGGCTCGGATCGATACGAAATTATCAGAATATAATACTAGGACTACGAATAGGCTATTAGCTATCAGAATTTCTAATTTAATATTCCCAATATTGAAATTCATATTAAAATCCATAATTAAATTCTACGTATGACAAGGAATACAATACCGAAGTCGGAATCGAAATTGAACGGCTAAATCTTTTTCTTTCTTCTTTTCTTTTTCTCATTTCTTCTCCTTCGCGTTTCTTCCTCTGCCTTCCTTCGCTTCGCAGGTAAGTTTGCTTGTTTTATATATATAATTATATTATTATTATTATATATATTATATTATATTATTATTATTAACGTTATTATTATTATTATTATAAATATTATCTTCATCATCATTATCTTTATTATTATTATTACATTATTATATATTTTATATTTATATTTATCGATATTTATCCGTTTAACAGTCTTTTCAATCATAATCAATATATAAAATAAGAATAAAATTTATCTCAAAATATTAATTTCTTGATTCCAAAATATTATAAAAATATTTATTTGCTATAATAATATTATTTTATACATTCTAAAATCGGGGCATTACAACATATATATATATTATTTAATTATATTTTGAATTTATTTTAAACTTTTGTAAATTTTTTTAAATAGAATTTTTTTATGGGCACACTCACTTTTTTCCTTGTGCTCATAGATTTTTATAATATTAAGTCGGTTCTATAAAAGGTTGTATATATATATATTATATATATAATTTATTCTAGACTTTTCTATAATTCTTTTGTATTATCTAAATTAGTTAATCTCTTACAATTTAATATAGTTAATATATATTTATAAATAAATTTCTTTATGTATTGTTTAATTACTTTATTAATTTTTTTTATATTTTTATTTTTATAAATAGTTTTAAATTTATTAGACTCCCTTCGTCCCATAACAAAATATCCATTTTTCCATTTTAGTCCGTCCCATAACAAAGTATCAATTTTCTTTTTTAGTAACTGTAGTATCTACCTAACATTACAAATACCTTTACAACTTATAATATATTACACAAATGCCATTACCTTTATATCACACGTACTAATAAGGTTATTTTAGTCATTTCTACTTTATTCCTACTATATCCCAATATAATACTAATATTTCTAAAATTACGTGCAAAAAGCAAATGAATATTTACTTATGGGACGGAGGGAGTATATTACTTTATTTTTTATAAATAACATTTTTTTTGTTTATTTTTTTTTTGAAATAAAAAATTTACGATTCAGCTTTCATGTTCACAATAAAAAGATATATTATTTATTCTTATAAAATATCACACCAAATATTATTTAAATAAAAATTCAAATTAAAAACTGAATTTGAATAATTTTATATAGTAGTAAGACGGATTAAATAACACATTCAAACATAACTAACATATTTTGCGGCAATCATCCTTCCTATATCCACATAAAATCTGCCATTCCAAAGTTGACCCATAACTACATAAAATTTAAATACACACTATAAACATAATAAATCAATTAAATAAGAATGTAATACTACGTACTAGAAACAGTTGTCACAAAACTATACGCAGAGTGTACAATATTAAAACCATATAGATGAGAAAGAAAATAATAGAGAAGAGGAATTTTAAATCAAAGATTTTTTAGAAATAAAAAATTATTTTACTAGTTCTCTTTGAAATTAAAAAAAATTTTGAAACAAAAAAAAAAAAAAAATGCTAGAAATACTTGTACCTATGCTCAGTCACTAGCACTGACATAGAGAAGTTGTATTTGAAATCAAATATTTTTTTTTTTAAAAATTAAAAATTTCTTTAACTGTTTATCTTTGAAATAATATAAATTTCAAACAAAAAAAAAAAGAAAAAGAAAAAGGGAGAAATACTTGCACCTAGGCTCAAGATGGCACTAACACTTGCAGCTGCATTAAAAAAAATAAAATAAAAAATAATAATAAAATAATAAAATAATAAATAGAGAAGAGGAATTTAAATTAAAGACTTTTTAGAAATGGAAAGTTGTTTTATTGGTTTTCTTTGAAATAAAATAAATTTCAAACAAATAAAAAAGTGTGAGAAATACTTGTAATTGTATAGTAAAAATTGAAGGATTGAAGGGTTGAGAAAGTATTGATTAAATGGGAGGAAGGAGAAGAAGGAGAAATTTTGAAGAAGAAAGGTTGCGGAAATTAATAGGAAAGTGTATATGGGAATTGAATGGATGAATCAATCTTGATTTTATTCGATTTGTATGTGACGCCCACATCAGCTGTTATTGTTAGTTTGTTATGGATGGGACTAGACACTACAAAAAAATATCAACTTTGTAACAAGATTTTTTCGTTCTTAAATCCACTTTTCTGTTACTAATGATATTAGAGACAGAATTAGGGACGGAATTACGTTAGCTACGTGTACTTTAGAAACAGAATTCCGTTACAAATATACTATTTTTTTGTAGTGAGAATTTATTAAAATTGTTTATATTTAGATTAAAATTGATGATTTTTTTTTATAATGAGACAAAAACGGATTAATTTTAGTGTAAACTATTTTTTAGTCTCATATCTGACCACATTTATCATTTTATGACTTTAAGTGGACTCTATCTGAAAATAGTCCTGTAAGTAAAAATCTTTTTGCTAAAGTGGTCCTCCGGTGCCTCGTAGATGCCAGATCATCGACACTTGGAATTTTTTAAATTTTTTTATTTTATAAAATGTCTTGCTAAACTATTTTTTTAATCCCGTATATGACCTCATTTATCTTTTTTAGGATATTTAAATGAATTACGTTTGAAAATAGTGTTGCAAATAATTTTTTTTTTTTTGTTAAAATGACCATCCGACGTAGCATCTATGTGGCGATGACATGTC